TCCAATAAAGAGAAGAAGAGAAAAATTTAAAATGGTGAAAAAATTATTATTATTAATTGGAACAAAAAGTTACAATTTTGGAAGGCCTTCTCAATTAAGAGTAGCCCTCCTCTCCAAAAGGAGTTTACAAAAATTTTCACACCCATAACCCCTCACTCTCAACCCCTATTTATAGTAAACATCAGTGAATGAGAGCCCTTGGATCAAACTTGAGCCCCAAGACAAGCACAATCAGCCATTGACGCGCGCTACAGTAATCTGGCATCGATGGATACAGGCATCGATGCCCGTATCGATGCCTGCATCGATGCTGGCATCGATGCTCCAATAAGAATTCTGACTTCACGGTTGGCTTCGTCTCGTCGAGATAGGCGATTTTCATATATTATATGTTAAATTCCGCCTTCCGGATTAGGAGATATCGTCGTTTCTTTGCAGCCAACTATCTTGATACATTTTTTTTCATATTTAATTTTTTTATTTTCTCCGGCTTCTACAGGCTACTCGGCTTGATTCTGGGCTTGGTATTTTTGACTCTTGCTTGTGTTCTTCATTTAATTTATGGGTTTTTGTTGAGATAAGAGATCTTGGGCTTTATTCTTCACTAACCTGCAATTAAAGATAAAAAACAATTATTAGTGGTATATTTATTCATTAAAAATAAATAATTAGGGTATAAAATTATAATAAAATGTGATTATCAGGCACCGACACGATCCTTCAATGGGATTCTAGATTTGGAGAGACACACACTGTCATAGGGCTTCACCGGAAGTGCGGGAGCAATAGGAGCGGGATCTGGAGTTGACAAAGGCTGGAAGGCAGCTTCGGATGCTTTTGCCTTAGGCGCTGATTTGGCTTTTGGCGCCCAAACTTGTTTGGATCTTGGCGATCTTTTAACTGCCTCTTCCTTTTGCATTTCCTGTGCTTTTCGCACAAGAGTCCGTGCATGCACAAGCAAGGTGCGGCGCTTCTGGATTCGCTCCTCGAGAGTAGAGCGGGTTCTTTGGACACGAACCCATTCGTTAATTGGAGATCGAGAGGAGGATTCCGATGCTGGTCGTGGCAACAGATTAGTCGCTTGGCGCTTTCTGAGCTCCAGATCTGCTTGGTAATGGAGTTCATCCATCTGATCCAAAGCCTTGGCGAATTGGCGCACGAGGCGTTATCATTTCCTTTGACGTGCTCTCTTTGATAGAGTTGGCGCACCTTCAGCAGTCGGCTCCTTGATCACAAAGGAGTTCATATCTGCAAATTTGGCTTCATTGAACGCCGGTGGATCGTTGCAAGGTGCAACAACAACAGCGGCGGAGAGATCGTCTTCTTGGGTCTTCAGATCTGAAGACCAACAGATCTTTCTGGAGGAGGAGGCACTCCTGCACTTGCCAGGAGAAGCGGATCTGGAGGAGGAGGCACTCCTACGCTTGCCAGGAGAGGCGGATCTGGAGGAGGAGGCACTCTTGTGCTTGCCAGGAGAGGCGGATCTGGAGGAGGAGGAGGAGGAGACGTACTCCTCGAACTTTTGCTGGTCGAATTCATATTCGCCCTCTTCGAGCACCGGAATCTTGATCGTCGGCTGCGGCACGACAGCTTTGGCAGCGAAGCTGTTGGCTCCCACTGTGGTCGCCAGTTTGTTTGCGGAGAAAGTTGCTTATTTCATTGCGAGATTCATTACAAACTTCAGACGTTTACAACGAATACAAAAATCAGTCTTTTTATAAGACTTTTACACAATAAAAATAAAAAAAAGTTTACAACTTTATCAAATAAACGTAGAGATCGTTTATCGGTCTTCTGCTTGCTTGGGATCTTTGCCTGTATCGGGGTTTATCCGTGGACCACCGTCGATCAGATCTGATTGCTGAAAAATTGGGCAGAGCTTCGTCTATCCGCGAAGGGATCGAGAGAACTGTAGCTCTTATCTCGGTGAAGCGAGATAATCACTCTTCTTAAGATTACCGCAACGGGATAATCCTAAGGAACGGATCTGGGAAACTGTAGATCTGACGAATCTCTTTCTCTTACGTTAAAGAACTCGATCCGATATCTCCTCCTCCTCTCTGAAATCTGTGTACCTTCAGTCTTCAATCTGACAGGGCTTCGCCGAGGCACGAGAATTCCAGATCTGAAAAAATGAGGCCTAAGGCTTGTATTTATAGGCTTGAGGGGATAACGGAGCGGTTAAAACCACTTAAGGCCCAAATCTACGTTGGAGACACCCTAGGGTGTCTCCACTTGATCCGAGACACCCTAGGGTGTCTCCCCTTGATCCGAGACACCCTAGGGTGTCTCGGTTTGGGCCGAGACACCTTAGGGTGTCTCGTTGGTCCGAGACACTCCATTTGGTGTATTTGTCTGTTTCTGCCATAATTCCTTCGTCCGAACTCGGATTTGAGTGATTCGAAGTACGTTGGAAAGCCGACAAGGAGTTCTATCAGCTACGATGGTTGGATTATCTGTAGAATGAATGAGACACGAAGGGCATTGTTCCTTTTGTAAA